TCTGCTCCTCTCATCTTCGCCATGCTCTGTGCACCATTAGAGAGAAGTAAACCTTCTGAAATCCTCAGATGATAGAACAGCCTTGACCTGCAGGATACAGTGGAACCCACCAGTCTGTGAAGTCACAGCCGAATGAGGTGGCAGCAGTTCTACAGTAGGAAAAGGGGAGGGCCCAGTGTCTGTGGACAGGGACTGGAGGGGGACACCGTCAGCCCTGCAGTGCCTTCCTTCGTCCCACACGCACTGTAGCCAGGAGGCGATGGGATGTTAACCGGAATCTTAAGTTGCAGGTGACAAAAACTCTCTAAATCAGCTTAAGTGAATTGGAAGTGGCTAGAGTAGCTAAAAAAATCTTAGGATAAATCAAGATGTCACATTAAGTGTTGTTATTTATTGTATTACATAAAATTATAACAAAAATATTATAAACAAAAGTATAAGCCAATAATTGTGTATCACTATTTCTCCTATTGTTTTATAAGTATTAAACTACTTTCAAAGAAAAAATCTTTGTATTTTAGCACCTTTAACTGCACTTTTTTCCCTGTATTTTCATTCTGCATTGGGTCCCACAAATTATGTTGCCAGCCCTGCCCTTTAGCCCCCATGTGCACACACTATACACAGTGACAGGTAGAAGAGATCTTTGAGGGGCAAAAAGTTGCACAAAAGTTATAAAGCAGAATTCTGAGTGGCTCAGGCTGATATAACAAAGTACCACAAAATGGGGAGCTGAAACAATAGAATTCTATTGTCTTACAGTTCTGGAGGCTAGAAGTCCAAGATCAAGGTGTCAGCAGGGTTAGTGTTTTCTAAGGTCTCTCCTTGGCTCGTAGGTGGCCATCTTCTCCCTGTGCCTTCATATCATCTTCCCTCCCCACACATCTGTGTCCAAAGTTCCCCTTCATACAAGGATACCAGTCATATTGGATTACAGCCCACCTTAACGACCTTATTTAACCTTAGGCACCTCTGTAAAGACACGCCAAATAAATCCATATTCTGAGGTTCTGGATGTTAGGACATCAACATATAAATTTATTGCGGTGGGGGACAAAATTTAACCCATAACATTTATTGCGGTGGGGGACAAAATTTAACCCATAACCCAACACAAAACTCTCACCCTAAGCATAACCAGGAGGAGATGGCATCAGGCACAGCATTCCATCATCTCTTTTTTTTTGGGGGGGGGGTGTCTGTCCCTAGGGGGAATTCCCCAAAGACCTCACCTTATGAGCTCCTCTATATGTGCTAAAAACTTACAGGATTGGTACATCTTGTCTTGTCAACAAAAGGTTACTGCCCTTAATCCAATACCAATAGGAATCCCCAATCTGGGGTGCAGTAAAAGGAGAGACTTTATTCAGGGAAACGCAGCCACCAGTGGAAACAAAAAGTGCACTCCCCCAAGACAAAGTGGAGGTCTACTTATACAGAGAAAGCTCCTGCCCTGGTCCCTGATTGGTCCACATTTATGCAAATGAAGGATCCAAATTTGCAGTTTGATTGGTCCAAATTGCAATGTCTTGATTGATTGGAACCACTTGTTCTGATTGGTCAGTATGGAGCTGTTCTGATTGGTCAGTATGGAGCTGTTCTGATTGGTCAGTAAATATGCAAATGAGAATATAGCTGTATAGCTCTGATTGGACAGGGGTGGTCTCAGCCCATTGGTCAAAATACCATTCCAGGAAGTCCTTTATAAGTGCTGGCTTAACCAGCAGGAACACGGTGCAGCAGTCTTGGCAGCCCAGTCTGTGGCTTTTCCCCGAAATATAACATGAGCGAGAGGTGCCCTGTAAACAATAACTGCTAGACTCTGATTATGAATTTGAGCCCAGTTAACCATGAGTCTTTTTTGACAGGTATAATCTTTCTTGGATCAACAGAGATTATCAGTAAAGTGAGTGTAAGTGACAGTTACTGAGATTGAGAAGATCAAAGGAATCTAAGTGCTAGGGTGAAATTCAGGCAAGAAACGGAGGTGCTGTCTGGGAGATGCTGAGAGGATGGCCAGAAGGAGCATGAGAGAGTGGCTGGCTCTGTAGGTTTGAGGGATACTCTTCATACTATCATGCTCTTACCCACCTCCCTCTCTTCCTCTCTTTCTTTTTTTCTCCCTCCAAAGTAATGTTTCTGAGCTTTTCCTCTTCCTAGTTATCTCAGAGGATAATTGATGAGCCTGCCTTCCTGCTTCTGTAGCCAAGTTTGCTCTATAGTCTTCAACAACATGAACTTTTAGGGCCCTTTTCAGCCGCTCCTCCCTCCAGCACTTTTGTCCCTTTGCCCATTATTCATGGAGTTTTTTTCACAAACAAGACCCTGGCCTTCTTTTATAAAGGCTCAGGTATTTATTAGTTATGCAGACACCTTTTCACTTCAGTTTTTAAATTTTATTTAAAAAGTAAGATATCATAAAGACAGACATATAGACCGAGGGAATAGAATAGAGAGCCCAGAAATAAGACCTCACATATATGTTCAAATGACTTTTGACAGAGGTGCCAAAACCATTCAGTGGGGAAAGGACAGTCTTTTCAACAAATGGTGCTGGGGAAACTGGATATCCACATGCAAAGGAATGAAGTTGGACTTTTATCTAACAGCATACATAAAATTAAAGAACTAAATAGAAGAGCTAAAACTATAAAATTCATATCTTAGAAGATATAGGGCAAAAGCTTCAGAACATTGGATTTGGCAATGATACAACACAAAGTCACAGGCAGCAAAATAAAAAATAGACAAATTAGACCATGAAAACTTAAAAATTTTGTGTATCAAAAGACACTATTAACAGAGTAAAATTTCAACCCACAGAATGGGAGAAAATATTTGCAAGTCATATATCTAATAAGAGATTAATACCCAAAATATATAGAGAACTTCCAAAACTCAACAACAAAAAAGCAAACAAACCAATTCAAAAGTGGGCAAAGGACTTGAATAGACATTTCTCCAAAGATGTACAAATGGCCCATAAGCATATGAAAAGATGCTAAACACTACAACTCATTAAAGAAATGCAAATCAAAACTAGGATGAGATACCAGACACCACCTCATATCCATTCGGATAGGTACTATCAAAACAAAAAATAAGCATTGAAGAGGATGTGGAGAAACCGGAACCTTGTGCACTGTTGGTGGGAATGTAAAATGGTGCAGCCACTATGTAAAACAGTACGGAGGTTCTTCAATTAAAAATAGCAGTACCATATGATCCAGAAATCCAATACCTAGTTATACATCCCAAAGAATTGAAAGCAGGACCTCGAAGAGGTCTTTGTATACCGTGTTCATAGCAGCATTATTCACAATAGCTAAAATGTAGAAACAAACCAAAGGTTTATTAACGGATGAATGGATAAGCAAAATGTGGTATATATGTATAATGGGATATAATTCAGCCTTTAAAAAGAAGGAAATCCTGTCACATAGATAAACCTTGAGGACATTATGCTAAGTGAAATAAGCCACACACACACACACACACACACACACACACACACACACACACACACTGTATGATCCCATTTACATGAAGTAGAGTAGTCAAATTCATAAAAACAGAAAATAGAATGGCTGAGGGAGAAGGGAATAGGGAGTTAGTGTTTAATGAGTACAGAGTTCCAGTTTACAAACTGAAGAGTTCTAGAGATGGACGGTGGTGACGATGATGCACAACTTTATGAATGATTTTAATACCGCTAAGTTAACTGTACATTTAAAAATGGTTAATAGTAAATTGTATATTATGTGTTTACCACAATAAAAATGAGAAAAAGGTATTATATACATGAGCAAGTTAAAAACAATTCAGTACAAAAGTTTATATTGTAAAAAGACTTCTCCTCTTGTTCACCCACATCCAGCAATGGTTCTTTTCCATATTAAAGGGTCTTAAGATGCCTCATATAATCTTCAGAGCCTTTCGCACATAACATTCTGGACACTGCATCTGCTCTTCTTTCCTCTGATTTAGCCATATATACTGATGTTTCACATTAGATTATATAGAACTGCCTTATCATTTTAAATAGTTGGACATGGACCATTTTATGAATCCACAGACACCAGATACAAATGAATACATACCTATGATTCCATTTGCATTAAGTTCTGTAATAGGCAAAACTAACCTGTAGTGTTAGAATTCCGGAGAGTGGTCACCTCTGAGGAGGATCAGGGCAGTTCCTCTGACAGGGGTGGAGGGCTTCTGGGGTGCTTGTCATGCTGTTTCTTAAACTCAGTTATAAGTACATGAGTGTGTCCACATTAAAATAATCCATTGACTGTAAACCTATGATTTCTGCACTTTTCTGTATGATGTTCTTCGATTTTACCAAATTCAATCTCACAATCTAATGGGAAAGGTATATATAGAAGCAAACCATTATGACTCAGTTAGAAAATGAATTTAAGACTGTTGCAGCCTTGACCCCAGCGCAGCTAGAGGCTGCCCGCACGCTAATCCCAGCTGCTGCTTGCTCCATAACCTGGGGGACGTTATGTAAGTGAGGGTCCTCAGTGCCCACGGTCTGCAAAATGGGAATAATCATACAACTACCTCGTAGAGTTATTGGCTCAATTTAATATAATTCATGTAAAGTGGGTAGAAGTGCTCCGCATAGTAGGTGCTGGATAAACGCCAGCTACCGTTACCACGAAATTGTAATTATTACAGGGAAGGATCCTCCTCAGTGCTCACTAAAGAATTGCTTTAGGTGAAATACCCAACGCCGGCCTCCTCGGGGACTGCGCGCCCACGAAGGGGTGTTGTCGGAGGTGCTGGAGATTCGGAAGACACCCTTCTGGATAAGTGACCTCGCGCCTGCCTGACTCTTCCCACGTCCCTTTTAAAACCGGGACCATGACGTCATCCTCACCCTGCGCAGCCTAACTTAGAAGCTCCCCAACAGTTCTTCCGGGCGGCCACAATTGGCTAGCTAGTTCCCGGAGGCTCCGCCCCCTTGCCCTCAGCTGCCCGGGGGAGCGTGCTGTCAATCCGCCCAGGTAGGAGCGATGATTGGCCACAGGGCGCGCTCTCCAGAGAGCCCGGGCACGCGTAGGCTGCGAGCTCCGGGTGGGAGGGGCACGGCCCCGCGTTTGGAGCCGCCGCGGTCCAGTCCTTCTGCCTGCCCGCCTGTTCGCTAGTCCCTCCTGCCGCCCGCCTGCTGGGCAGGGCCGGCCCGGCCCGGCCCGGCCATGGAGTCCTACGATATCATCGCCAACCAGCCCGTGGTCATCGACAACGTGAGGCCCGGCAGCCGGGGGGAGGGCGGGCGCCCTGCCTCCGGGTCGCACGCGGCGGCGCCGGGAGGGACATCGTCCCGCTGGGCTAGTCCTCTGCGCGCTGCCTGCCCGCTCTCTGCTTGGGAGCCCGCGCACCCATCAGGGCCGCGGAGCCCCTACCTGAGCCATGCCCCAGCCCGCCCATGAGGAGCATCTCGGGAGAGCAGAAGTGACAGCGGGCGGCCCTGACCTGTTGAGAGTATGGTCACTTAGCAGGTTTCGACCCCAGCCTATTTACCCGCCTTTCTGGCTGTGACTCTGGCAGCCCTCCTTGGTGGAGGAGGAATGACATTTGCCCTTTTGCACACTGCTGGCCTCATCTTTTCGACAGGGTTGGCCTGGTGACTTCTACAACAGCACTTCCGAAGGGGCCGCACGCCCCAGCAGAACCTCCAGAGTGAACAGGCCCTACTGGGCTCTTTTCCTGGGACCTGGGGGAAAATGCACGTGCAGCTCTGCCAGCCACAAATCCAGTATCATCTGGATGGCCACTTGGCTACTTTGACCCTCTTCTGAGGTGCCCCCCTGTGTGGGGCAGAAATGCCACAGCAGGCAGGGCATGGAGAGAGTCAGGACCTATAAGCAGTTGGGTATAATTGTTTGGAAGTCTCAGAGGAAAGAGGCCTGACTTCCTTGTGTCCTTGTCCTTCACCACTGGGGCTCAGCATGCTGACAGCTGCCTTCTCAGGATTTCTGGCTTTAGAAATTTCTGGTCCTTGGGAAGAAAATGAAAGGCGGGAGTCTATGGCTCTGCCCTAGCTGGATATCTTCCTCTGGTGTGTGAGCCTTGGAGTTTTTGATAATGATTCCCTTCTCTTTCTGGGATCTGTCTCCCACATGACCCCCAAGTCATTCCTGAATGGCTATGTTTTTTTGGAGTACCTATGTGGGCTCCCAGAGTCACATCAGGGGATGTTTAATAAGAAGATGAGAACTGGGCTTGGGGATGCTCTCTAGCAGGTTGCAGAAAGGACCAGGTCCCTCCCTTCTGGTAGGCAAATAGTTACTTAGACTAATTAACAAGTTCCGAGGGCCACCTGCATGGTCCCTCTGGACTTTCAGCTGCTCTGTAACTTTGGCATATCTGTTCCTGCACTGCAGACCCATATTGTGATGCAAATCTGTAGGAAAAGGGGTTCAGACTGATTCCTTCCTTGGATGGGAGGGTTCTAGAAAGAGATCCTGAGTCCAGCTTCCAGGCTGGAGCAGCGACAGGACAAGCTCTCCTTTGCCTGCAGTCTTTGGAGAAACCACTGGAGACGTGCCAGTGTCCCCAGGCACCCAACGGTCTTTCCAGTGGGCCCTGTATGTGGTCCAGTCTACAGGGGGAAGGGGGCCAGGTGCTTTTTGAGAAAAACAATGGTTAGGGGTTGCTTTTAGCTGGTTTCAGGGAAAGCTTTGCCATGGCTCTCTCCTGCCTGACCCTGGACTGCGCAGAGGACACTGTGCTTCGTGGTCTCCTCACTCCTGGCATTCTAGGCTGGATAATTCTCGATTGCGAGTGGCCGGCCCATGCATGGCAGGATGTTTATCAGCCTCCCTGGCCTCTACCCAGTGGATGCCAGTAGCACCTTCCCCGCCGACCCCAGTCTTCAGACATTGTCAGATTTGGGCAAAGGGGTATAGAATCACTCCCACACACACAGTGTTGAGCCCCTGGTGAACTTGTAAACAATCTTGCCTTCTTGGCAGAAGCTTGGCTTCTTCCCCAGCCGCCGCAGCCGGGCAGCCCGCATGCTCCAGCACAGAGTATTGCCTTCATCAAGAGGTGAAGGCCTGCAGCTAAACATTTTTTTATCTTGCAGGGTTCGGGAGTGATCAAGGCTGGCTTTGCAGGAGACCAGATTCCCAAATACTGTTTCCCAAACTAGTAAGTGTTGCTCAAACTGCAGCCCTAACCCTTTTGTTTGCTTCCTGGGAGAATAGTGGTCCTGTGTCACAGCTGTCTTTCAGGCCAGCCTTGCCCCCACCTGAAGGGAAGATAGCAGATGTGTAAAGCTGACACTGTTGAGGGCTCTGGAAGGAGCAGACAGGAGTCTGCTTTTGGTCTGTCCTCTAAGCTAGGGAGAAAAAGCCACTAGCATTCCCCCTGGGGACAGAGTGTGGTAGCAGCAGCAAGAATAAAAGGAAGACATTTCAGGGAGAAAGAACTGAACTCAGAGAGGGAAGAGTGGGGACTTAGTGCACAGAGAACCCTTCTTCCAAGAAGAGGTTTTCTTTGGAGCTTATTTATCTTCAGACTCTGGAAATTATTTTATTTCAGTCAGGAAGGTCTTTTCCCTGAATGGTGCCAGTGATGGCAGAGGTCAGAGGAGGTCAAGCCCAGAGGAGGCCTGGGGTGCATCTTCGGCCATTCCAGCCCTCTGGGAAGTTTTCTCTCTGAAGCATCACCTCACAAATCCTGGAGGCTTTAGAGTGGTTGGCCTAAGGTGGGAGGAGTTCCTGAGGCCCCTGAAGTGGCCAGCTATGCCAAGACCCAGGCCTGGTGTGGGGATGAGCCATCATGGAGCCCCCATAAGGCTCCAGCTCTCCTTTCTGAACCCCACTTGGGCGTGGTTATGGTCTCGTTGCTGTGCAGGGGACTTGGGTGGAATTTCAGAATCTGTCCTGGAAGCCCTGACAGTGGGAAGGGGCAGGATGGCTCAGTGAGAGAAGGATGCACAGGGGCTACTACTCGGCTTCCTAGGCTGTCCTCAGTCTGCAGCCACAGCCACAGCCCTGCCCTCCTGAAAGCAGAGTGTGGGCTGAGTCACTGACTGCCAAAGCTGACCCCTGCCAGGGCTCTGAGCCCTGGCAGAGGGAGGGTGGCGGGAGGGACACCTGTTCTTTTGACCTTGATTTTTCTATCTTACCAAGTTCTGCCCTGTAGCCCCATGTGCCATAGGCCTGGGTTCTGATCTTTACCCATGGCCACATCTGAGGCTTTGGAGGACAGCACTCTCGGCCCCTGGAGCTGGGCTCTGCTGCAGCCCCTCCCACCCCACTGACTTGACCTGTCTTCACAGTGTCGGGCGCCCTAAGCACATGCGGGTGATGGCTGGAGCCTTGGAAGGGGACCTCTTCATGGGACCAAAAGCAGAGGTAACACCTGTGGAGTCTGCCTCGACCTGGGTGTGGGGTCCTCATAGTCCTAGGAGCATTGGTGGGGAGCAGAGCTTGCTGTGGAGGCCTTCAGGGCTCTGTTCTCTGGGCCGTGTGCACAGTGCTCTCCTGGGCTCTCTGGGCTCCACCTGGGAGGAACTCTGCCCTGTGATATGGTGGTGGTTGGAGGTGGCGGGGCACAGTTAGACCACTTCATGCCCTTGGAAGCTGCAGAGGAAAGAGCTGATTACAAAGTGACTTGAGAGCCTGAATCACCTGGACTTTATAACCTATGCAAACGAGAGCCATAGGGCCACCTCTCGTGCCCAGCTACGGTGACCTGCCAGAGCCACCCGGCTAGAGGAGGCCCTCAGGAAGAGTGAATATGGGGTGGGGGAATAGCAGCAAGTGCAGTTTAGACACCTAGGGAGCATAGCATGGGGAGCCAGGATCTGTGGAGCTGAGCTGGGGGTGCAGCTAGGGCCAAGAGATGGGTCATAGCCACAGCTGTGAGAGAGAGAGGCCAAGTGGTGCTTGGCAAGTAGGAGCATGCTGTGGGGGGACGTCGAAGGACAGGTCCATGAGCACTGACTGGGGAGCTGGGAAGAGTTGGTGACAGGTGACCACAGGAGGGAATAGTACAGGGTCACCCACGAGGAGGCTCCTGGCTCTGATGAGCAGTAACTGTGAGTGGCAAATTGTGACCTGGGCCATGTGTGGGGAGAGAAGGGGAGAACATGCTGACAGTGAATGTAGAGAAGCATGGCTAGGGGAGGGAGGGAGTATGTTGCCACCCTTCCTGGTCCCTGGCCAGTTGAGGCTGGCTGGCCTCTGAGAGCCTGAGACATTGCCGGACAGTTGAGCCTGTGCTGAATTTGGGAGCCACCACAGGGCGTTGGGGACACGCAGTGAGCAGCAGTGGTCCTGCTAGGGGCAGGTAAAGGGCAGATTCCATGGGGGCTGAAGCAGAGCAGGAGAGGACTCAGAGCTGTGCTGGCCTTCCCCCATAGGAGCACCGGGGGCTTCTGGCCCTGCGCCACCCCATGGAGCACGGCGTTGTGCGGGACTGGAATGACATGGAGCGCATCTGGCAGTATGTCTACTCCAAGGACCAGCTGCAGACCTTCTCCGAGGAGGTGTGGTGGCCAGACGCTCCCCAGGGCTCCGAACCCCCTCGCTGTGCCCCCTCCCTGCAGCTCCCCTCCGGGTTGGCCTCCCACATCACCTGCATTTTGACAGGGCCTGCTGCCTCTTAACTGTGTGTGGATCTGGGGACAGTAGTCAGGGCCAACCAAGCAAAACCTTCCAGAAAGAGCTGGCTATTTGCAGGACTAAATGCCGGCAGATGACAGGACAGTGCCCTCAGAAAGGACAGTGGCTGCAACCATGGTGCTCACAGTAGCTCCTTGGAGAGATCCATTTAGGGCCTCGCATGCCCACGACTCTGCCATCTCTTGCAGCATCCTGTCCTTCTAACGGAAGCCCCGCTCAACCCAAGTAAGAACCGGGAGAAGGCGGCAGAGGTGTTTTTTGAGACCTTCAACGTGCCAGCCCTGTTTATCTCCATGCAGGCCGTGCTCAGCCTGTAAGTGGTCCCCAGAGTCTCTGTCCTCCCCAGGGCCATCCTCCTCAAGATAATCAGGTGTCTGACTACTCTGTAGAAAAAGCCCCCCCCCACACACACACACACACTTAACTGTTTCTTTAGGGAGTTCTACATGTCCTTTTTTCAGACCAGATCCTGTAGTTGTCCCAGGGTCCCTTCCAGGGGTGGGAAGTCCCCATGCCTTACTGGCTGAGGTGAAGGGATGCTGACCTGCTGACAGGTACGCAACAGGACGCACAACAGGAGTGGTCTTAGATTCAGGGGACGGGGTCACCCATGCTGTTCCCATCTACGAGGGCTTTGCCATGCCGCATTCCATCATGCGGGTGGACATTGCCGGCCGCGACGTCTCCCGCTATCTCCGGCTGCTGCTGCGCAAGGAAGGCGTTGACTTTCACACCTCAGCTGAGTTTGAGGTTGTCCGAACCATCAAAGAGGTGACAAGGGCTGAAGGGCCTGAACATGACCTGGAGAGGGAGTGGAGGGTGGCAGGACCAAGGTGTGATTTCAAGCCCTGGGGGTGGGTGTCCAGGTCATGGCCTTCTGAGGGTGTGTCCCTGCCCCCCACAGCGGGCCTGCTACCTGTCCATCAACCCACAGAAGGATGAGGCTCTGGAGACAGAGAAGGTGCAGTATACTTTGCCGGATGGCAGCATACTCGACGTAAGTCACAGGCCTGGCCCTGGGTGGCAGTGGTGCCACCGGGACCTGGAGGAAGAGGAGGCCCATCTACCTCAATCTTGTCTTCCAAAGGTGGGGCCAGCACGATTCCGGGCCCCTGAGCTGCTGTTCCAGCCGGACCTGGTGGGGGACGAGAGTGAGGGGCTCCATGAGGTGCTGGCTTTTGCCATCCACAAGTCCGACCTGGACCTCCGCCGGACACTGTTCGCCAACATTGTGCTTTCAGGCGGCTCCACGCTGTTCAAAGGTACCCTGGTTTAGAGGTAGTGGTGGGACTCTGGAGGCCAAGGGTAACCGTACCCTCACCTGCATCCTGCCACCCACAGCCTGGGACATGGCCTGATTCCTATTGGCCTTCTGGTGTTGAGTGAGCACTTTTTTAAATTAAATTTTATTTTATTTACTTTGTAAATAGGCGATAAGTTTACATGAGATCTGAAATGAAGTCTCCCTCCCAGTTGTCCTGGTCACCCCTTCCCTCCACACAGGAGTTGTTGGTTTTTCAGGCAGCTGTCAGCCACCCCCTGCATGTAGATGCAAGTGTGCACCCCCACACAAACTGTAGCTTACTCCAGGTCCTGATCACACATGGCGCCATGTCTGGAAGGTCTTTCCCCACCTGTGTAAGTTCTTTTATATGGCTGTGTGATGTTTCACCGAACAGATGTGCCATTTAGCCATTGTCCTGATGGCCTTTGAAAGAGCTGCAGCCATTTCTAATCACAAAAACGCTCAGTGGGCACCATCCTGCTCTGTCACTTCACATCGTGAGAATACACTTCAAGGGTAGAGCAGCCAACTTGGGGCGCATGTGCCTTTGTTACTTGGTGCATCGTGCCAGAGCTTCCCTCCTGAGAGCCTATACCCCACCAGTTATGACATGAGTCCCCACACACCCACCTGATGCTGTGTGGCCTTGGCCCATCTGAAGGGCAAGGTGGTAGATGTTTTCCCCCGATTTGTCATTTGCCTTTGACTTTGCTTCTGGTGGTTTTTGGCTGCTAGAGCGGGCCAGCAGAGCCATGTGAGTTAGGGTTCCATCTCATGTCATCTCTCTTTGGAAGCTAGACCCCGCTGCAGGTACAGTGCTGGGTCTTTCCGCCCTTGGGGTGGCTTGCCCCTACCCTTAATCCTGGCAAGAACCACTGAGAGGAGGGAGGCAGGTTAGGTACAGGGAAGCTAATGCTCAGGGGGCTAGATGTGGACCCCAGTTTCAGCCAGCCTTGTGTTCACAGGCTTTGGGGACCGATTACTAAGTGAAGTGAAGAAGCTTGCACCAAAGGATGTCAAAATCAAGGTGAGGTTGTGGGGAGTGCTGTGGGATGCGGGTGCTGGGCAGCTATGACCCCGGGCAGTGGGGGGGGAGGGGCTTCTCACACCCTGCCCTGCCTGGCCTCTCCTCTCCGCCACATGCTCCCACTGTGCCAGCAGGTGCTCTTGCTGTGTGGCCTCAGGCCTGTGGGACTCACCCCAGGGCTGGGAAGGGGGTGTCGTGGAGATAGACAGTGACATTGCTGCCTGTGCCCCCAGATCTCGGCCCCCCAGGAACGGCTGTACTCCACATGGATCGGGTAAGGTGGGGCCCACGGTTTGGGGGATGTCTTGCCCTAGAGGCTTTTCCCAGGGCTAGCCCATTCCAGGGGAGGTGGGTGGGCTTCCCACCAGATGATGGGAGCAGAGCTCTGAGCGCCTAGGGAGGCGGCTGGCTTGGTCCTCGGGTCCACAGGAGTGCCACCCCTCCATCCTCAGTGGCTCCATCCTGGCCTCACTGGACACTTTCAAGAAGATGTGGGTCTCCAAGAAGGAGTACGAGGAGGATGGCGCCCGTGCTATTCATCGTAAAACCTTCTAGCGCCCAAGGAGAAAGGCAGTGTGCTGGGCGAGTGGGAAGAAAGGGGCCAGAGCCCCAACCCTGTCTGGTCTGGGCCCACATACACCAGGCCCAGGGTTCCCTGTGTGCCCTGAACCCCGGGAAGGCGGTACAGCATCTTCCCTGCAGCCCTCCCCTTTGCACACACACGCACACACAGTAACGTTTAGCTGCATGGGTGGGGGTCTTGAGCTGGAACATAGAAATTGATGTGCCCAGCCATAGGTGGTTCTGGGTGTCCCTTTGGCAGGGCCAGTTAGGGCTACGGTTCCTGGCTCTGATCCTTGGGGCTGCTTCTTCCCCAGGCTCCAAGGCTTGACCCCCGAATGCCCCCGTTTCCTCTGACAGGGTCCCTCCCAGGACGAGGGCACCCGGGTGCCTGTGTAATTAGCCTTGGGGAGTGGGATAGAGGAGAAGGTGTCCAGCAGCTCCCCACTGGTGCATCCTTGCTTCTCGTGCCATCTCATCTTCCTGACCCGACAGAGTAGCACAGAGGGCCAGCCACTCCTGGCATAACTGGCCTCCCACACTGTCCCCCTCATCTTCCTGAGTGGATGTCTTTGTGTAGGCTGAGTACTGAGCAGTCTGCTGTCCCCAGTGAGGGGGTCTGACATAGGGTTGCACCCCCTGGAGCCAGGGCAGCAGATGCTTGGGGTTTGGACAGCCAGTCTGTTGCGCTGTCCCTTTCACAGTGCTTCACTGCCTTGCTTCTCCCCTGTCCTTTACCCTGGGCAAGCGTTAGTGGTCTTCCCTTGTTGAGAGTCAGACCCAGAGGGGTGAGGGGAAAGATCTCCTGTCCCACCTCACCCACTGGGAGGGTCATTACCCTGGGCCAGGGCCCCTCCCCGTCCCAGGTATGTACAATAATTTAACACAGTTGCCTGAAGAAAACTTTTTTGTAAATCATTATAGTAATAATTATCAACAAGGTCCTGTGTGTGGCTCTGCTTTCTTGTGGTTCTTGTGCTGTTGTTTGCTTACCTGTCCCTGGGGATTTTGAGAGAAAGGAACAGTAAGAACGCAGCATGGTGCTGGCTATGAGAAGCCTGAGAGTTTCAATGGTTGGTGGGGCAACCGGGCACGGGAGGACCCAGGAGGCTGGGCTGTCACCCTGGTGGCAGAATTCCCCAGCCTCATTACCCACTTGCTGCAGTCCTCCAGGAGAAGCAGAGAACAAAGCAGGCTTCCTTTGCCTTGTTCCTGGGCCGGGCCCCTGGCAGGTGGAGCTGGGGATTGGTGCCTTGGTGTCCTCACCTATTCTCTCTGAGCACATCTGCTGCCCTCCTCACACGGGGGCGCAGGCCAACAGTGATGCAAGCTGAGTTCAGACAAGTTGGGAAAGAGAATGATGGGGGAGACGGTGAAGGCTGTGTCGAGCTGGGCTCTGAAGGTAGAAGTTGAGGATAGAAAGAGTGGTGAAAGCAAAGGGAGCACTGAGAAATGAGTCTGGATTGTGTCTGCCTTTTGCTTCCCTCACCATGAGCCTGAACACCTACAGTATGTCCAAGAGGATGCCATGTATTTGGGACCAATGGTAAGCAAGACATCTTTGCTCCCCAAAACATACAGGTCAGAGGAAGATAAACAGACTGCTTTAGTAGAATTGTGGGGGCCCAGGGGGAGGGGCATCTCACCCAGCAGGTGTGTTGGGCTAGCTTGCAGAGGTCTAGGAGGGTGTTCCAGGTAGAGATAAGAGCTCAAGGAGACATCTGTGACTGGTGGGGCAGGACAGGAGGCCCCAAGTGATGCCAAGTCATCAGGGAAGGGAAAGTGGTCTCAGGCTAGAATGCAAGATACCCCAAAAAAGGAGGTTGGGGCCAGTATGTGGGGGACTTGAGGGTTCTTAGCTGTGTCCTGGACCAACCATAGGAGGAGGAGGATCAAAGTTGTGTGTCAAAGGCAGTTGGAGTTGGTGGAGCTGAGGGAGCACCCAGAACTGAGATCGGGTAGGAGGGGAGATACTGAGTCAGGCCTACCTTCACAGGGCATTTGGAGGGCTCATGATCACAGAGCAGCTAAGCTTGTACCTGCCCTCAAGGGGGAAACAATTTACAGAGAACCCTTGTTTGGGGTTCTCGTGCTGTTGTGTTGTAAACTTCATGTTCACATTGCTGCATTTGATTTGTCAATATTTTTAAGCGAAGTTTGTCTACGTTGATGAAGGCTACTGGCTATGAAATTCTGTTGTGATGGCATTTTCTGGCTGTGATTTCAGGTTGCTTTGCCCTCAAGAACCTTCTCCCAACCATACGAGTTAAATCCCTCTTATTTTTAAAATCCTCCCTTTTCCTTACCCCCACATTCTGCCAGTTGTCTAGTTGTGCTGGTCCTTCTGTAATACCTTCCCTGCCCATCACTTCTTGTCCATGATGCCACTGCCACCCTGGCTCAGAACTACAGCTCTCCATTCTCCTCTCCACCATGTCCATATGCTCTTGGATCTAAAGCCAGGTAGCCTTGATTCTGCTGCTTCCTAATCCAAATGTCATGAGGTCCTCCACTGCCTGCTGAAATCACCTTCATGAACTACACATTGCATTTAATGCAGGCCCTTTGGGATCCGTCCCTTGTTTTAGGCTTATCGTTAATACCCTGCCTTGTCTGCCAGCCTATACTCATGCTGTTCCTCTGCTGGAAATGACCTTTCCATGTCTGTCAAGATCCCATCCTTTAAGCCAAGTGTCCTCCACCCCCAGGCTGCAGACCATTACCAGTCTGTGGCCTGTTAGGAACTGGGCCACACAGCAGGAGGTGAACGACAGGTGACAAAGTTTCATCTGGATTCGCAGCCACTCCATGCACTAGCCTCAGCTCCACCTCAGATCATCAGGTGTTAAGTTTCTCACAGGAGCACCCATCTCTAGTGCTGAAAAGGTTGGGGACTGCTGCTTGAGGCCAAGCACAGTGCAGCATCCTTCCTACTCCTTCCCAGCAGGGACACTGTGGTAGAGCTCTGGCCCTGCCCAGCTTCTCACTGCTAGAGCAAAGCTATAGATGAGGAGGTAGGTGGTGAGGCTAGCCTGAAGCTTCAGTTGGGTTGAGAGTGGAGGTATGGACTCAGTCAATATACATTCAGATAGATACTGAAGTAAACATGCACGTGTGTGTAAGCGCCAGGGTTAGAGATACTTGTGTGTTTCCTAGCCTTGTAGGCTCAGAGGGCCTAGAGGCGCTGACACCCCAGTGGCAATGAGCACATGGTGTCCAGACCTTGGTTTCTAAATATCATTTTTTGATAAAAGGAATCAAAGCTCCTTGGAGAAATATCTGAGACAGAGTATAAAATGAGCCTGGAACGACATACTCAAAAATGGAACTTGTCTGAAGGACACAGGAGCCAACTCTAGGAGCCCCTAGCAGTCAAATCTGTAATGCATCGTAAGTCATAGAATAGTTGTCTACTCTGATAATAACTGAATAAATACACACGTGGAGAGGTGACAGTTCTTAGAGTAAAATTCCAATAAGTGCTGCTGTGAAGAAATTATCACACAATTAATGGCTTAAAGCAACATAAAATGTATTATAGTTGTACAGAAGTCTGACATGGGTTTTACTGGGCTGAAATCAAGGTGTCAGCAGGGCTGCATTGCTCTCTGGAGACTACAGGAGAGTGGTATTTCCTTTGCCCGCTTCCAGAGGCTGCTTGCATTTCTTGGCCTGTGGCCCCTTCCATCTTCAAACCTGTAGCACGGCATCTCTGACCATTTTTCCAGCTACATCCTCCTCTGACTTCTGCTGCCCTTGTGATTGTTAGGCCACCCAGATAACCAGGAGAATCTCTTTAAGGTCAGGTGACCGGCCACCTGCATTCCATCTGTTGCTGTGATCATCTTTTACTACAGCACCTAACATTGTTTCCAGGCATCAGGACATGCACATATTGAGGGGCCGTTAGACTCTGCCTACCATAGTCTGGAAATATACTGGAGATTTTTCTTTCTTTAGGGAAAAACTGGTTAAAATTTTTAAAAGACAGAGAAAACGGCAGAGTGGGCTTGGAGACAAAAAAGACAGATCAGTTATTGATATGGGGCATCATTTGAGGCAGGCAAAGTGTTTTCCTTCCAAAACGGAAGGGCCCTGAATGGCAGATAAATGCTCGGGCATTTCCTGGAAACAAATGAGACTAACTGACAGTAAGGAATCAACAGTTTTCGCTATACCTTAAGAGGAGACAGTGCAAGCCTGGGGCAAAGGGGCTTTTCTCTTAGACACTCTTATCAACAGTTCAAGTGAAAGATCTAGTTTGAATCAATTTTGTGAGACACTTAACTAAAGGACCCCTGTGGTTAATCCTAACACAAAATGGAAAGGTACTATTTCCATTTTACAGATCAGCATAGTTGTTGAGAACTTAATTTGTCCAAGGTGTTACAAATATAAAGGGGCTAAACTGGGCTGTTTATTAATCTCTCCAACTCTCTTTTTCTGATGCTGTTTTATTACAGTTCAAACACACACAAAAGCAGAAAGAACAATGATCCCTCACATGCCTGGCTACAAAGGACAAATCACATCCCAAACCACTCTCTTCCCCTTACCAGTTTTAGATGTAATCCCAGGCATATTTTACCCCTAAGTATCACAGTATGTATCTCAAAAAGCATAAAAAATTCCATTAACACACCTAAAAATAAATACTTAAACATTAAATATCCAAAATTCAAATTACTCGAATTTTTCTTTACAGTTGTTTTTTTTTAAATTAAGATCCGAGGTTCACACATTGCTCTTGCTTGCTATCTCCTTTACATCCATTTCATTCTATAGGTTCTCCCTAGCTTTTTTTCTTCTTCTAGTCATTGGTTTCTAGAATTGTCCCATATTCTGGATTTTGCTGATGGTATCCTCGTGAACAGTGCTTTGAACTTGGGTCCCTCAAGACTTCCCCACAAAATTCCCACAAGTTCACTCTGTCTTTATAACAATACTGAGGACGTATCATCTGCCAAGCTCTTTATACCTCACCATTGTATCTTTCTTGTAGATCTAACGCACCCTAAGAGAACATGTCCCCAGTGAGAAAGTTAAATGATGGAGCCAGTGTTATAAGCCCAGTCAGCCTAACTCCACAAAACACTTTTTCTCCCCATATGCAGTAGTCCCAAACACAGTATTATGAGATTGTCCCTCTCAGTGTCCACAAGAGGACAGCAAGCTAATGCTAACAGCTAGCTATTCCTGATAACAGAATTATCCATCTCTCTCCAAAAACACAGGAAAGAAATGAGACCAGCCAACTATGGGAGAAAGAGCCAAAGCAATGGCTAGTCTTTACTGAAAGAAAGCTTTACAGCACATTTTGAATGACTTAGTAAAAGGGCTCAGTGGGCCAACTGGTGGGGTACCAGCTTGTAATGGGTTCCACAGTTAGGGCATCGCTGGGTCTCGCCTTTGTGCAGCCAGAACCAGATGACAGCACTGTTGTCCTCTTCACCTGAAGGGAAAAAGGTGGTTGAAGGCAAGCCACACTCCAAGAGGAGAATTTCAACATGAATCTCTTTTCCTGAGATATCTCTGAGACTAAGGTGTGGTTGACAGCTTAAGAGATCAGTTCAAGCTCTCCTCTCCATTTTTCAGATGAAGAAACTGAGGCCCTGAATTTACCTGTCAGTAAAGTGACCTCATATCAGAGTCAGTATAAATTCTAACAATTCCTTTGCCCGTGGAGAATCCCAAAGCAGGGTCATTCTAATACATAACTCTAGTGTCTAAGGTGTCTAACAAAGAGAAAGAACAAAAATAAATTTTTTTTTCGATGAATACTCCTTCATGTTGCATTTCCAATAACCCATGATGACCTATTCAGGCATAATGAGGCTTGAAAGGCCAGGACCCTTAAAAGGAGACATCCTATACCATAGGGTATGTTAAACGAGAAAATAGTGATGAGGTACTTACAGATACAGCCCACTATTCGCTTGTTGGTGATGGAGGGGACCAAATTAGGGTCTTCCTTGGTGCCTGAGGCTGGCTTTGGGGCTAACATATTGTATGGGTCCTGAAAAAACAAGAATTGAGCTGTTATGCTGGATGACCACCCACCCTCCAGGGGCCGGCAGTACTGTTCCCACAGCCAAGCTTCCTGGACCAAATGCTCCCAGACAGGAAACTGCTCTAGTCCCATCTAAGGCTCAGAGCTCCAAAGAACATACAGAAGGGAGTATCTCCTCACCAGGCCCTTCCGCGCGGCCATCATGACCTCCCGCTCCAGCCCCGTCGCCTGGTCATCATCAGTAGGAACACCACCTAAAGGAACACACCTGAATTATGTCATCTGAAATTACCAAGACAGAAAACGTACACACATAAACTTCTGCATACAAATTAAGTGAGCTCACAAGCTTCTATAGGGTACTCACACCCACTGTCCCCTAAAGACCAGAGTCATGATCCCCAAAAGTAACAGCGCAGGGAGAATCTTCTCTTCAACCACCAATGCCAATTTTTCTACTCATTTTTTTTCCAAAAGCAGGTCAATCGGAGGCTTAGTGGGGCCATCCAACTCACAGTGCGAGTGAGTCTGAAGGGCGGCTTCGACCCTCCCCAACGCGCCTGCAGCACTGCTGTACGCACAACATCATTGTTTTGCATAATGATCCAGCCCAAACTAGACATGTCCCCTGGCCTCAGACAGCACAGTCGCAGAGTGAAATACATGGCAACCTCTAACAGATGTATTGTGAGAAATTCAGTTGGACAGTCACCCGGGACCACCGTTTAGGATTCTTTCGCAGCCGGGTCAATTAGGTGGGCGACTATAGCGGCGACTGGGAACAACAGAGATGCCCGCGGAGTCTGAGCCCCGCCCCGCCCCCCAGGCTGAAGGGTGATCATTGGGGCCCAGAGGAGCCGAACTGCCGGCTCCGCTATGCTGCGCTAGCACCGCCCCTCACCCCCGGAGAGCCACGGCGCCGGTCCCAGACGCGCCTAGTGGGTCAAGTACCTCTAGATGCCATGGAGCGCACCGCGGCCACCGCATTGACACCGCGGGCCCTCAGGGCCTGCGCGGCTAGAGCTCTAGTTCCACGAAGTAACCTTGAAGCCATCACGCCCGGTGCAAGAGCAGCACTTCCGGAACAGGCTCCAAAGACGGGCGGGACTTCCGGGCGGGGCTCCTTTCTCCTCGGCGTCAGTCTTCCGCTTCCGTCCGGCCCTGCCTCCACCCCCACGCGTGACTCGGTCCTGGACTGAAAAGAATGCGCATGCCCAGCGCTGCCAGGCTCTCCGCTGCGCAGCCGTGGAGGCGTGGATGGGTCGCGATCGCAACTCTGGCTGATGGGCTTTGCTCTTCGTTAACGCTGGGTTTGGGGCAGCGCGCCGTGCTCCCGCGGGGCTACGTGGACTGCGAGGGCCACAGCACTGTTTCTGTGCGTGCTGCCCCACAGCTGTGCTCGCGAAACGTGGAGGCCGCTAAGGGAAGTCGTTAAGCCCGCGTCTGGCGAGAGACTTGCTGGACCCCAAGTAATTTAAATTTAGGAGGAGCTCCTAAAGGCCCCTGTATTCACTGTTATGCTTGTTCATTGTGATGCTGGTTCTCCTGGCGGTAGGGGAGCCGTTGCGAGCTTGCTGCGTTGGTTTTGCCATCGAGAACGCGGGCGGGACCTATCCGCAGTGCTGGCATCAGCATCCCGTTACAGGGATGTTGTGATGAAGTCACTACAGGCGATGAGGGGCAGGAGGATAGAGCCAGGTTTAGGACCCCTTCCAGGACCAAGGTCCTTAGCGATGTGGGAGGAGGTGGCTACACTGGGAGCTTACTAACCAAGGAAGAGGTTAAGGGAGGGAAAGCGAAAAGGGGTGTTGATCATGGGAACCAGAGTCACAGAACATTCTGTGGTTGGAGTTCTCTTTAAAAAGGGAAACATCTTCTATCGCTCACCATGCCTCACAAGCTAAGGTGTACAAGCTGCCTGGCTGGGTGGGCATCAAAAGGTTTTGCAAACACTGCCCTCCATCGGCTCCTAACACTTCGTTCACTTGTCGTTTAACCCTGTCACTGGCTCCATGCAATATCTGTATTTCCCTACCCGATAGAAAATCCCTTCAGAGCAGGAATTATGCTCTATTCTTCTTTGAAATCTCCAGTGCCTTACAGAGGTCTTGAATACAGTAGGATCAAGTAAATTTTAGTATATTTATTGCTTGGAAAGAATAAACAATATGTCTTGTAGGGGTTCCGGAATGTGGTCAATGTGAGGCAAATTGAGGAGGGTTGAAGTGACAGGTGTTCCCACCTGTCTCCTGCAGGTTGTCATATTTTTAAAAGGATTCTGGTGAACATTCCTTCACAGGAGCACATCTAGCATTTGTTAGTGCCCCCTCCATCAAGAAAAAAAAAATGGACTCTATTCTGAGGCCAAAAAATGTCTTGATCGTCTTTAAAGGTGGGTTTTGCTTTAAATGGCTTCCACTGTTACTCCCTCACCTCCACTGTAACCCCTCAACATTAAATTGAAAATAATTTTTTCCTTAAATCCTAGGAATGGTCCCCAAGAATCTATAGTTGGTTTGTTTCTGTGGTTATATGTTTAGTGGGTGAAAGAAAGCCATGGTCTGGAAGACAGGTTTCCTGAGATGGAACCCAAACAGCCAGCTCAGCCAGTCACTTTTTCTTTTGGCCACTATTTCCTCATCAGTAAAACCATGCTTAGACTAGATTAGTATTTCCTAAAGTGTACTCCATGGAATCCTACTCTCAAGAGGTGCTCTCAGTAAAAAGCACTTGATCAGGACACCCTCTGCATTTGAATACCTTCCTGGAGATGCACATTGTAGCATATTAAAGGCTCTGATTAGGCCTGCAGCAAAGAATCCTGATTTGCAGAGACTCTAAATGTTGGGGAGATTGTCAAGTCCTTTCCATGGGCCAAGGCTGGTCATTTTCAAGAAAGAAAAACCTGGTCTCTACCTTGAATCTAGCACAAGAAAGTAGAAGAGAAGAGGCTGTTATTTGTTTGGACAGAGTTCACACAAGCTTGAAGTAATGGGGTCAAAAAAGGGACTTAATCTGCATTTCTGTTGCTGAAACAAGCAGCTCTGAGCTCTGACTGGACCACAGAGGCCCTGCCACTTACAAAGGCACTTGGGCCAGTTTTTAATTACAGCAGGGGTGGTGGAGACAGGTGCTGTTTGCAAGCCTGCCTGGATCCTGCATCAGCCAGGGATAGCCCAGACGTGAGGGTGCCCTAGAGAGGCCTGAGGAAGATGTAACAAAGTGCTGAACCTCGGCAGGCTGCTGGGACCTAGGACCCTTCCCACCAAAAAGCCAAGTCAGAACAAGTTTTTGTGCCGATGCCCCAGATCCAAAATGGGTCACCTGAAACTATCAGCATGAGGCCTGGCTGTAGCTGGGACTTAGAGGGATCAGAGGAGAATTCTTATTTAAAGAGTGTGTGTGTGTGTGTGTGTGTGTGTGTGTGTGTGTGTGTGTGTGTGTGTGTGTGTGTGTGTGTGTGTGTGTGTGTGTCTAAGAAACAAAAGCAGTCTGGCAAACCAGCCTGGCAGCAGAGGCTATCTCATACAAGAGACAGCATGACTTGCCACTTTCCCCTCCCAGGAACCCTGCTCTCACTCAACAACCCCCTGTCCAATCCCACAGAGCCCTATTAATTATTCCAGAAAGGAACTTGAGCTCCACCTGAAAACTCCTAGCATTCCTCTCTTCCCCCACATACACCTCTTCCTTCCCCATGCCTTCCCCCTCCACCCACTCCTGCCCAGAGGCCCACGGTGTCTGTGTTTCCTCAGGGCCCCACTGAAGCACAAGGAAGGGTTTAGTGAAGGAATGTTTGCAGAAGGGTGGCAGGTTCAGGAGCCCTAAGGGACAGTGAGGACTGGGGACGGCTGCAGTGGGATACTATGACTAGAGCCAGCAGTACTGGCACCTGGTGAGAACTGTAGCAGCAGGAGTGGTGCCACTGTCAGGGCCTTGGCAGAGGGGTTCGGGGTGGAATAAAGAGGGATTTTGAGGAATTTTCATCCAAAAAGGCTAACAGCTCTCATCTGCTTCTGTAAATATGTTTGCTGCATGCAAAAGCTCACTTGCACTTTGCTCCACCTAAGCAACAAATGTAACTGCTTGTACCCTTAGCAGCTCCTGCCTCTTGTAGCACTTTGTACCTTAGCAGCTCCCACTTCCTGTAACAATTTGTAACCATCAGTAACCCATAACAACTCTGTCCCTTCCACCAATGTTACTACTTGCAACCATAGCAACTACTCCCTTGCATTGTAACAGTCTGAGTTGAAATTAACCAATCAGCGTGTGTGTAAAATTCTTGTATATAAGGAATGTTGCAACTGAGCACGGGACCCAGACCTTCAGAGCACTAGCTCCTCTGGGACCGTGCGTAATAAACCTGAGTTCTCCTTCTCTCCAGAGTTACTGCTTGGTTTTTTGCTGGTCTGAGTTTGGAACTTTTCCGCAACAGAGGTGCCACACAAATAAATATCTCTCTCCTCCCACCCTCATTCCTGCCAGTGAATCCAACTGGGAAACAGAGGGTGAGAGAGTCCCTTGGTGTGAGCCATAGAGGACAGCTCTGCAGCACAGAGCAGGGAGAAGAGTGGAGGGTGGACCTGGAGGTGCAGACACAGAGTGACCACATGGTTCTCTTGCCTGGGACAATCCCCTGCCCAGATGGTTTCATCTGGCATTCTCAGTTCCTTACTCCCGTGTCTCATTGGTACCCAACACTAAATACTCCCCAAACCTTTTTTTTCTGGGTTCCTGCTCCCAAGGTGTCTAGTACTACTAGAGAGAATCATACACCGTTATAGGCTGGTGATCATCACCCTTGGCTCAGCCACTGATGTTGAGAGCTTGGTGGTTCTTTCACTCACTGCCTTTAAGCCCCAGCCCTGCCCATCTGGTCAGCCTCCCTTCCATCCCCTCCAATTTTCCTCCGCCTCCTCTTCCCCTTCCTTCATTCTTTCCCTCTGATCTTGGAGGAACTGTGTCTCTTCTCCCCAGGGCTGTCCCTTCACCTGCCAGGCTCTGCCTTCTCCCTGTGTCAGGTGCCTTCCCATCACTTTCAAGGATGCTGAAACCTGAGTCCTTCCTCAGCACCACACCCGTCATCAGTCTATCTGCTTCCATTCATTTCCAGACCTCTTAGAAGAGCCGTTCCCTCCCTGTGTCTACCTCTTCGGCTACCGCTCATACGTGGTCTCATCAAACCGGCCTCTGACCTCACTGCCCTGACCCCTGGCTTCCTATTTGCCAACACTCAGACTCTGTCAACAGCCTCATTCACTTAAATGCCCTCCCGTTGCTAACCACCTCCTCCTCTCCTTCCTCGACACTGAGCGTCCTTAACCTTGCCTTTCAGCCTCTCTTCTTGGCTCCTCTTCCTCCAATCGGCTCCCAACTGCTGTTTCTCATTCAGGGCTCCCTAGAGCTCCCTGTCCACTCCCAGCCCACTCTCCCCAGCTAAGCTGCTTACCTCCATTTCCACTTTGTAGTTCTTTGGGGACTGCAAAGTCAAGTTACCCAAATGCATCATCTTTCCCCTCTAAGTTTCCTCCACCTCTTCCTTCCCCATTCATCCCTTCCCTGCTTACAAACTTAACAAACTCCTCCTTTCCCAGAGAAGGAAGGCCAAATATCCCAGAGGGTCTTTAAATCCCGCTCCTGTGCCCTTGCCCATGGCATTCCAACCACGCACAGTCTTTGCTATATTCCCAAAGGCCTCTCTGCTTTTTCCCTTTGGAGCAGTTCAGGACCAGTCCCAACACCTGCCTCCTGAGGGGTGGGGAGTTACTGGTTCCCCAATCTTGTTATTTCACAGAACTTTGCACAAATCTGTGGAGCTCGGTGTGGATCCAGAGTCCTTTATTAGCTCTGTGACCTTGACCAAGTAGCCTTACCTCTCTGAACTTCTAGAAAATAATGATACAAATGTCCACCTCAGTTGTACACCTTTATGGTCAATTGATTTTCAACAGGGGCACCAAGACATTCAGTGGAGGAAAGAAGAGTCTCTTCGACAAATGGTGTCAGGGAAACTGCACATCCACATGGAAAAGAATGCGGACCTTTCTACATTATGTACAAAAATTAGCTCACAAGGGATCAAAGACCTAAATCAAAACTAAAACC